ACGGCAATCATTGCAAGAATAAAAACAGAATGTAAATCTTTCAAACTGGCGGGGAGGGGATAAAAAGAAATAAACCTTGAAGACAGAAAGGGAGAAAAAAGGAAGCATAGAAATAGAAGAATAGAAAACACAAAGATGTGAAAAATAAATCCAAACATAACGGTAAACATAATAAATTAAAATAAACTAAACTCAACAGTTAAAAGAGACTGTCAGATTGATTTTTATGCTACTTACGAGACTGTCACAGTCAAATAAAGGCTGAATGTAAGAAGACAAAAAGGTACACCAGGAAAATACTAACCAAAAAAAACCCAAAAAACAAAAAGCTGGCAACTATGATATCAGATAAAATAGACTTGGGGAGAAATATAGTATTAGGGATAAAGGAGAGGGGATTCCTACGAGCCCTGGTGGTGTAGTGGTTAAGAGCTACGGCTGCTAACCAAAAGGTCAGCAGTTCAAATCCACCAGCTGCTCCTTGGAAGCCCTGTGGGGCAGATCTACTCTGTCCTATAGCATCGCTATGAGTCAGAATCTACTCGATGGCAACGGGTCATATAATGCTAAATCCGAACCAGTTGCCTTAGAGTTTCCTCACTCATGGTGACCCGTGTAATAACTCATGTAATTCAGAATAGAACTGTGGATAGGGTTTTCAATGGCTGTGACCTTTTGGAAGTAGATCACCAGGCTTTTCTTCAGAGGAACCTCTGGGTGAATTCCAACTGCCAACCTTCCAGTTGGTTAATAGCTGAGCATTCAACCGTTTGTGCCACCCAGGGACTCCTTATACAGTGATAATTGGAAAGACTTCTTCAGGAATATTCTAGATTGCAAGCACCTAATAACATGGCCTCAAGATACCTGAGAAATAGAATTTATAAGCTTGATCTACAGTCCGCATAAATGGAACTCTACCCAACAATGAGACAATACACATTCTTTCTAAGCATACAGAGAACATGTTCAAAAACTGACCTGTACTAGGCCACAAAGCAAATCTTGACCAATATCCAAGAATCGAAATCAAACAGTCCATTCTCTGACCACACATGTAACTAAGTTAGAAATCTGCAACAAAAAGGTAAACAAAAAAAGACCACCACGGTTGCTGGGTAGAGAATGTGTAGTATGCTGGGCAGGGTGGGAATAGCAAAACAAGCTTAGGGTCCAGGGAGTGGGTAAGGGGAGGTGATCTGGATGAGGGTGGGACCAGTGAGAAGGAAGGAAGTGCTCTGTCTTGTTCAGCCATGTACACCCAGCACCCAGCACAGTACCAGGTAGACAGTGATTGTTGAAATCCAGGTGTAAAAAAATGAGAGGCTAAATAAATTGCTAGTTGAATGTGTTGAAATGAATTGAAGCTCCATCCTCATGGCAGGATATCATAACCTGGTCATGAGTGCCCCACCTGCCTGGGCCGTCTACTGCCCCATTAGCCAGCCCTGGGCTCTGCCCATCTGCTTAAACCTCCTCACACCCCTCACAAGTCTCACATCTCTGCCCTTGTGGTTCTTTTTAAGTTTTTATGGAATGCCTTATACAGGCACTATCCTAGGTATTTCCACATCCATTATCCTTATTTAAATCACCCAACAACCTGTAAATTCAGTCCTGGAAACTCTACTGCCACAGATGAGCAAACAGGTGGGGCTCAGAGAGGTTAAGTAACTTTCCATTAGTAAGGGATTTAAACCCTCATCTCACTCCCTTTTCTTACCCCTTTGTTGTGTGCTGTCAAGCTGATTCTGACTCATAGAGACCCTATAAGACAGAGTTATGAAGGGTTTTCTTGCCTGTAATCTTTCCAGAAACAGATCACCAGGTGCTTCTCCTCGGAGTTGCTGGGGGGGTTCAAACTACCAACCTTTCCGTTAGCAGCCAAGCCGAGCACTTAACCACTACACCACTAGGACTCCTTATCCACAAGTGTACCCGTTGCCCATCAATTCCGACTTACAGCAACACTAAAGGACAGAGTGCAACTGCTCCATGGGGTTTCCAAGGCTGTAATCTTTACAGACGAGTCCTGGTGGCACAGTGGTTAAGAGCTCGGCTGCTAACCAAAATGTCAGCAGTTCAAATCCACCTGCTGTTCCTTGGAAACCCTATGGGCAGTTCTACTGTGTCCTATAGGGTTGCTACGAAGTCAGAATCGACTTGATGGCAATGGGTTTTTAATGGGTTAATCTTTACAGAAGCAGATGGCCACATCTTTCTCCCATGGAGCCACTGGGTGGTTCAAATTACCAAACTTTCAGTTAGCAGCCAAGCACTTAACCACTGCACCATCAGGGCTTCTTTTACCCTCTAAGAGAGGCAGTATGGCGCCATGGTGTAGCCATTAAGAGCACTGGTTCAAATCCCACATCTGTGACTCTTCAGCTGTGGACCCTTGTGCAAGTGACCTAACTGCTCCATACCTCAGTTTGCCCACATATAAGATGGGGAGATGGTCATATGGCAGCCACCTCAAAGGGTTTTCATGAGAATTATATGGGCTAACATACGTGAGGAGTCCCTGGGTGGCACAAACAGATAAACTGCTTGCTGGTAACCAAAAGGTTGGTGGTTCAAGTCTACCCAGAGGCACCTCAGAAGAAAGTCCTGGTGATCTACTTTAAGAAAATCAGCCATCGTAAGCCATATGGAGCACATTCTACTCTGACACACATGGGGTCGCCATGAGTCAGAGCTGAGTCGTCTGCAACCAGTTTGGTTTGAACATATATGAAGTGCTTAGAAAGTACCAGACGTGCAGTAAATTTTCAGTAAGTTATTAGCTGATTACTATTATGCACATGTTTGAAGATTCAGTTATGACTACCAGATAAGATTTGGCCAAAGAAATTAAAATTGAACCAGACAAATGGGCCGGTACAGGCTGCTGTCCAGTTCAAAATGCAGATGTTGTGGCCACGCTCACTAAACGCTCACCTAAAGGACCTGATTTGTCTGTCTCAATTGACCAAGTCCAACAACCAGAGATTCTGGAGTATCCCTATTAGACTGTTGTTGGGGTTCACAGCACAAACCCACACCTTGATCATCGGATCTGGGCAGGATTTCTCAACCTCAGCACCACTGACATTATGGGCCAGGTAATTCTTTGTTTTCACATCCCTGGCGTCTACCCAACAGACGCAGTAGTACATTCACACCCCTCCCCTAGTTGTGACAACCAAAATGTATCCAAATAAAGCCAGATGTCCCCGGAGGGGGCGGAGGTAGCAAAATTACCCCAGTAGAGAACCTCTGACCTAGTCTTCATAACTAAAACTTTCCTAATGGGATCCACAGCAGACCCCCTTGGTCCCAAATTCAACTCTGGAGGTCATAATAAAATAGCCTGGGGCAGAGATCCACTGAGGAAGGATGACGGAAATAGATCAATAGGCTTCAGACAGTCCCATCCTGATCCCCCATGCATGAAGCATGCTGATAGGCTAGAAGACAGAATGCACAGGCGCCAGTTCAGTCTTGGCTGATGAAAAAAAGCTTCAAGAAAATCTGAGGTGTACTTAAAACGCTGTGTCTCCAGAAACTAAATGTAGCATTTGTAATGGGCAGAACATTTACACGGGGCTTTAGCCTTCAAATCGCCCAGCTTTCAGCCTCCGCTAATATTCTCAAGGGGCAGGGTTGGCACTCTTCCATATTCAAGATGATTCAGGTTTCCTGGAGAACAAAATGAGCCTCTAATGCCTAATATTTTCTCTCTGACAGATGGCTGCAGATGTATCAAAGTGCTAATCCTTGCTGAGGTGTAGGTCTCCAGGAAGGAAAGTCTGGCTTTTAGAATGATAGGAGTTGAATGATTAAGGAGCAAAATTACTCCCAGTATATTCACCATTGCCATGTGAACAACCAGCTTAAAACAAAGGAAACCAGCAGAAGCTGAAAAAAAGATCTGAGGCAAGAGGAGAGGAAAAACTCAAAACCCAGGTTAACAGTTTAGGTTTGAAACATTTTCGCTCAAAGACGTTTGTAGGAATGTAAATGAAGTGTAATCAAAAAACACCTTTAGGCACAGGATCTACACGGTTCTATCTGCCCCCCACCTCCACCCCCCACATCATCATTTCCAGCTTCAGGGCGTGGAAGAGGCTGGACTCTGGAGACAAAGACCTGGGTTGAGGCCTTGCCACTTACTAGCTGTGACCTTGGGCACATCATACAACCTCTCTGAGCCTCAATTTCTCCATCTGTAAAACTGAGTAATATCTATCTCAAAGTGAGGTTGTGGAAATTAAACAATAAAAAATGTATGCCTGACACATGATAGGTTGTCAGCAAATGCTAACTAAAACACAGTCCCTGGGGGTGCAGTGGTTAAGTGCTTGGCTGCTAAGGGAAAGGTCAGTGATTGGAACCCACCAGCCGCTCTCTGGGAGAAAGATGTGGCAGTCTGCTTCCCTAAGGATTTACAGCCTTGAAAACCCTATGGGGTAGTTCTACTCTCTCCTATAGGGTCGCTGAGTCAGAACTGATTCGAGGGCATCAGATTTGCTTTTTTGGTTTTTGAATGCTGAGTGGTGTTGCCATTGAGTAAATTAGGTCTCATGGCGACCCCATGTGTACAGAGTAGAACTGCTCCACAGGTTTTCTAGGTCGTGACCTTCAGAAGCAGATCGCCAGGCTGTATCCCAGAAGTCGCTAGGTGGCTATGAACAGCCAACCTATCAGTAGCTGAATCCTTAACCGTTTGCACCACTCAGAAAACCTTAAACTGAGTATGAAGTAGCATTTACCGTCGACCTACTATGTGCTGACTGCTTTCACATACGTTAACCACCTTTGAGCTCCTCAAAGCCTCGAGAGGCAGTTATTTACATTAAGGAGATTAAGCACTTGTCCCCGGTCACAAAGCTGCACAGCGCTCGAATCCAGGTCCGCCTGACTCTCGAGTCAAGTGCTTTCCACTGCACCATGTGGAGCTGAGAAAGATGTGGGGATTACTGGGGCCAGGCCACCGCGCGGGATCAGAGGTCACTCACGGTACTCCTCCAGCCGCATTAGGGGCCGGAAGTAGATGGGGTAGAAGGCTGCACCGAGCAGGGAGACGAAGCCACCGAAAATGAGCGCGGTGCGGAGGTTCCGGGACATGGTGCCGGGTCGGGAGCTGCCCTGACCCGCTGCGACCCGCACTCGCGCAATTCCCGCTCTAGCGCGGCCAGTCGTGACCCCACTCAGAAGTGACTTTCGCTTCCGGGCCTTGGGGGTGGAGCTAGAAAGCGAGGCGGGTGCCGGGCGGGGCTAGGGAAGGGGGTGGGTCAGGGGCGGGGCCTAGAGGCTGGGTGGAGCTAGAGGCGGGGCGTGGGCGGGGCCTTGGACCCGCGCCCCGCCACCTCCTCGCTCCTTCTGCGAGCTTCGCAGCTGAGCGCAGGTGCCGCGTTGAGTGGAGCCGTTGCTGTGCACTATTCCTGCTGTCCTGGTTCTGCTCTCTTTTCTGCCCTGATCCTGGCTCCTGTCTCAGCTGCGCCACCCACCACTCTCCAAACCTCGTTTACCCACCACGCTTCCTGGTTCTTCACCCCATTGATTAGTTTTTAGTGGCTGTGCACCACGAGCAGAATGCTATCTATGACTCACTTATGAAATTCTCCTATCTGTCGTCCCATTTTACAGGTGAGGGAACAACGGCTCGGCTGCACTAGTTTGGCAGAGTCACGTGGCCTACTTGAAGGCTTGTGGGGATTAGGAGTCCCAGTGGTTAAGAGCTTGGCTGCTAACCAAAAGGTTGGCAGTTCGAATCCACCAGCCACTGCTTGGAAACTATAGGGCAGTTCTACTCTGTCCTATAGGGTCGCTATGTGTCGGAATCGACTCCACGGCAACGGGTTTTTGGTTTTTTGGGTGCTGCAAAGTGTTAATGGCTGGGCTACTAATGGAAAGGTTGCAGGTTGCAGCCCACCCAGAGGCACCGGTGAAGAAGACCTGGCGATCTTACTTCGAAAAAAATCAGCCATTGGAAACCCTATGGAGTACAGTTCTACTCTGACACACGTGGAGTTGCCATGAGTCAGAGACAACTTAACAGCAACTAGTTATAGAGACAAGGGCAAGCTGCCTGGCCCAGGCTGGCCCCCAGCGGGGATTCTGAAACCTGAGACCAGTGGCAGATTATCTAATAGGCAAGGTAAACCCAATGCTTACCTTGCTTACTTGAACATCTGTAGTACACACTGTCACATTTTTTCATCAGATCAAAGATCCTGCTTCTAGGTATAGCCGGCATCTGTCTCTCAACCCCACAGCACCTTCCTACAGAATCAAAGCCTCTACTCAATCCTCTGTAAACAAGAACGATACCAGGTGATAGGGCTGGGAAGCAACAGCATATTTATCTTGACCCAGCAGCATTATTTAGTCCAAAAAAGATCTAAGATTTTTCAGAAATGTGGAGAGTGACATGTGACCCCCGCTCTCCAGGATTCTGCCATGTAGATAAAGAGACAGGGCACATACACAAAAAGATAACTGATGAGCCCTGTTGCAGCCTGTTGCAGATGAGTGATACAGACCTGCAAGCTGCTGAAGTTCAGAGGACGGAGACATATGATGGGGGTAAGGTGGTTGCTCCTCGGACACGTAGGGGAGCTTGTAAAGGTGAGGACAGAAGAGTTCATGGAAAACAGGGAGCCTGTGATACATGCTCTATACTACATGATATAAAATACCCAGACGTGGTGCACATTTGTCATTTTACCAACCCAGCATCCACTTCCGTTTTTTCTGTTAATAAAAAACAAACCACTTGCTATAGATTCTGACACATGGAGACCGCATGTGTTACAGAGTAGAACTACTCTCTCTAGGAATTTCATGGCTGTGAACTTTTAGAAGCAGATTGCCAGGCCTTTCTTCTGAGGCACCTCTGGGTGGGTTCAAACTGCCAACTTTTTTGATTAGTTGTCAAATGCTTAACCATTTGTGCCGTCCTGAGGCTCCTTTTCCTGTTAAAAAAACAAACCAAACCCATCACTGCTGAGTCGATTCCAACTCATAGCAACCCTGTAGTGACCCTGTAGGGCAGAGTAGAACTGCGCCATAAGGTTTCCAAGGCTGTAATCTTTACGGGAGGAGACTGCCACATCTTTCTCCTGTGGAGTGGCTGGTGGGTTCGAACAATCGACCTTTTGGTTGGCAGTCCAACACTTAACCACTGCACCACCAGGACTCCTTTTTCTGTTAATAGTATCCTGAACATCTCTGGGAGAAGCACTCCTCTCCCACTCTCAGTCCATGGGGTAAGCTGGGGCTCTCCCCTGTCCAGCCCCTCACCTTTCATCCTTACTTCCTCCCAGCTCTGGGAGTTAAGCATGTAATCGAGCCTGGCCAAGCTCCCAAGCCATAGAGGTTGGTTGGCACAGGACTCAGGCCTGATCATGGCACCCACCTGGCCACATGACCCAACCATAGTCTCTTCCAGCCCCCTACTTGAAAGCTGGATTAAATTTGAGAGGATGAGACTCTGGAGCTGTAGAGGACATCCTTTAGAGTCTGAGAATGAAGTCACTACAGCAGAAGGAAAGTTTAGAGACAAACTACAGTAGTCCCCCCTTATCATGGGGATACATTCCAGGACCCCATGGATGCCTGAAGCCAAGGATATACCGAACCCTATATTTACTATGTTTTGTCCTATACATACAAACCTATGATAAAGTTTAATTTATAAATTAGGCAAAGTAAGAGATCAACAACAATAACTAATAATAAAATAGAACAATTATAACAATACACTATAATGAAAGTTATATGAATGCAGTCAGACTACTCATCTAACATTTTCATACCACGGGTAACTGAAACCACTGAAAGTGAAACCACAGATAAGGGGAGACTACTGTAATGTTATATTGAGCCCCTGAAGCCAGCCATACCTGAAACAAGCCCTACTCCTGGACTTCTCAGTAACACGAGCCAATAAAATTCCCTCTCCATTTAAATCAGGTTGAACTGTTGGGCTCTGTCTTTTACAAGAGCCTTGGTGGCTCAGTGGTTAAGTGCTCGGCTGCTGACTGAAAGGTCGGCTGTTGGAACCCACCAGCCACTCCACGGGGCTAAGATGTGGCAGTCTGCTTCCGTAAAGATTACGGCCTTGAAAACCCTATGGGACAGTTGTACTGTGTCCTATAGAGTTGCTACGAGTAGGAATCGACAGCACTGGTTTGGGTCTTTTACAACAGAGGGATGTGATTTCATTTGCTTAACATTCCCATAAACTGCAAGTCAAGGCTTACCCTATTTTATTGTCCAGGTCACTGTGAGCCAGAGGCCTGAACTCTCACTCAGGGTACACACCATTGGCTGAGCCCTGACCAGGGCTGAGCCTCATGATTCCTTATCTGAAGTGCTCCTCCATGACATCTCACTTTCTCTGTGAGCAAGCTTGGTAGATTGGCCCTGTCTATGGGGCCTCTGTGCGTCAGTATTGAGAGTGACAGGATAATGTGGTGTCCTGGTGAGGTACTGGAGTCCCTGAGTGGTGCAAACTGTTAATAAGCTCAGCTACTAATTAAAAAGTTGGAAGTCTGAGCCCACTCAGAGACACCTTGGAAGAAAGGCCTGGTGATCCACTTTAGATAAATCAGCTATTGAAAATCCTGTGGAGCACAGTTCTACTCTAACACACATGGGGTCACCATGAGTTGGAGTTGACTCAATGGCAACTGAAGCTTATTGATGAGATACCAAGAGCGCCTCCAAGGCACAACTCAGGACCAATATGGCAGATGAGCCACCGCCCTTCAAGGTGGTGTGATGAGTGACGGTTTCTCTGACCCCTTAATGCTGATAGAAAGGCTTTAGCCTGACCAGCAAAAACAATTAGCCCATCTATGCCATTTGTACAGATTATCATTATCACACCAAAAACAGTTACTTGTCACTGCCTGTCACCAAGTTGTAACAAATTCATCTTTTGGATCATAGTGTTCTCTGCCCATTTCTGAGAAAACCATACTCTCCCAATTTATATTTTCCTACTAATCTGTAAATTCAATCAACAAATATGTATTGTGTGCTTACTCCAGGCAAAGCACTGTAATAGATGCTTGGGAACACAAAAAGGAATGGTTCAACATTTGTGTATTCAACAAACGTCCATTGTCCCAGGCGGGGAGCCAAGCACTTTGCAGGTGCTGGTGGATGCAGCAGTGAGGAGAATAGCACAGTCTGTTGTCCTCATGGCATCTATGGTTTGGTGGAGGGATAAGATGTTGCAGTGGATTATAATTTCTTTTTGACCACTCAGCCTCCTCTAATATTAACACCTGATTTCTTTTTGGAGGATGACCTCTCACTTTGGCGTTCTTGGTTGGACTGTAAATCAAGGGCCGTGCTGGGCTACAAAGTTTGGTGGTTCAGATCCACCCAGAGGTGCCTAGGAAGTAAGGCCTAGCGAGCGATCTGCTTCTGAAAGGTTATAGCCTTGAAAACCCTATGGAGCAGTTCTCTGCTCAGGTGGTGTTTCCATGAGTCAGAATTGACTCGATGGCAACCAACAACAACACACTCTTCATCCATACAGATATCAAGACTTGTAGAACATTTGCCTATACCAGTCATTATCATAGGCTCACTTCTGCAGTACTCACCAATGTCCGTGCACAGATACTGTTTAAGTTTCCTCATATTCAGATGGGGAACCTGGGGCATAGCAAGAATAACTCGCCAGTGACCACATGGCTAGTAAGTGGCAGAGCCAGGGTTCAAACCCAGGCTGCCTGGCTCCAGAGATCTGCTCTTAACCACCAGTCTACACTGCCTTGCAAAGTGAGCAAGCTTGTGTTGCCTAGGGGTGCGCATGAACCAACCTGGTTAATAGTTTTCTGTCTCCCAGAAATAAGAATGGTGAGGACTGGGACACAAGGACAGACAGCATGGCTGGAGTGGATTTCTTCCATTGCTAGTGTCCTGATGATGTTTTTGCATATTTCCCATTTGCCTGAAATTCGGGAGCTTCCCTGATTTTTCTCCTTTGCAGCCTGAATGTTTAACTATTGTTTTCTGCTGTTGTTGGTTGCCGTTGAGTAGACTTCAACTCGTGTATAAGGTCCTGTGTAAACACTGACGAGTCCTGTGCCATCTTCACAATCACTGGTATGTTTGCGTCTCCCGGCACTATATCTGAAAATGTACTTTTGTGATCCATAAGGTTTTCATTGGCTGGTTTTCAGAAGCAG